GAGGTTGTAAAATATGCAGCTATGAGAAATATGGTGTGTGAAAACATTGAAGCAGATGAGGCATCTTTGAACTTTCTGCAGTTGTTTGACGAATATCTGAAGCCAGATGGTTTCATACACATAAGAACACATATCTGAGGATGGACTGTGTGACGTTTGGGTCAGCATTGAAAGGGGTGTTTTGCGTGCAGACATTCAGTCCACCTATACTTCAAGTTCGTTTGTTTGGAGTTAAGCACAAAGCTACACAATGGGCTATCTGTGCTCTGCCCTCCACGGGTATCGAAAACCGGTTTCTAGCATTGTAAGTCCGCAGACATACCGTTGTGCCACTGGGGCTATACTTCAAGTAAGATTTACTCTCTGTGGATTCAGTATGACAGTCAGAGTGGCCCCTCTTATACCAGCGTGCTATTGCTTATGCCGTGTAGCATCTCTAATACGACTTCCAGAACTAAATGGTACAAACAACTCTGGCTCACAAGTCTAACTTCCATTGTTACGGACAAGATTAAAAGCGATCATCTTGTAATTTTTTGTGGTTTCAACATTTGTGGAAAAATGTGCGTACAACAGATGTAAATAAAGAAATTCAAAAAGTCGGCAATATTCCTATTTTGCAGGCATCTGTCCTTTTTAATATTTTGAGTTAAAAGCTTTCATAATCACAAATTTAACGACATTTGTTGTCTTTTTTAAACCTCAACATCTTTCACTTTTATAAATGGGTGTTTTGTGTTGTTGTTTTAGCAAAAATCTAGACAATGGACTACCAGCACTCTGTCTTCCTAAGGGAATCGATCCCCGAATTTTAGTATTGTAAGTTCTTAAAGTTACCGCTTACACACCGGAGGACATTTTTATAAACAGATATCATATTTGTACAAGATGAACATTTTTTTCATTGAACAGAACTTTAATTTCTATATTTATCCATTTAGAAAAATACTTTTGATCGTAACAAGAACATTTAGTGGGAATTTATTTTTTGGTTACCTTGATTGAACTGATCACAAACACCAACAGCTTCATTAACATTATTTCTAGTCTTCTTAATTCTACAAATGTCTTCAAAACAAACGTCAAGAGTAATATGTTGTCTTTCCTAAAATCAGTGACACAGCTTCTATTAACTTTACAACTAGTTTCAATAAACAAACAAAGATAATATGTTGGTTTTCCTAAAGTCTGAGATATGGCTGCTATTAACTCTACAACCGGTTTCAATAAACAAAACAAAAATAACGACTGGTTCAATAAAAATCTTAAATATAATAATGTTAGAATATCTATATAATACTTGAGTACTCTTGTATGACTAAATATACAGAGGTTAAGGACGTTACAGGTCCTATCGTATCTGACAACTGTGCATTTTGACAATAGCACTGCAGCGTAGTTTCCATTGCAAGAGGTTCCCGAAAAGCTGTTATGTCCGAAGAATATGTGTGACGGATTTATTATTTTTTCAATATCGATGTTTGTTTAAATTAAATTTATATTTAGAAATTTACATAATGTATACTGTTAAATATGTATTGCGAAACGTCCGCCTATTCCCGAAAGTGAGTTGCTTAATCCAAGGTTGAAACTTACAATTGACAACTTACTCTGAAAGGGTTTGGGGAAAAAATCGAGAGACTATTTTGGCGTACCTTTTTTCAGACTATAAAAGTTCATCATACATGAAACAGAATGCTGGTGACTTGGTGTACATTATTTCAGACTGTAAAACTCCTTTATCTTCTATATATATTGTTACGTATAACAATTTCGAATTTTGTCTCCGATTCAGATCTCGGACATGCCCCCAATTTATTATGCTACGCATTAGAATTTGAAATGGTCTGAAACCGAACTAAATGATACTTTAACTTTAGTAGTTAAATTGTATTTTGGATTTAGCAGTTAAGTAAAAGCCGATATATATAGTCAATTTATGATATATGCCAACAAGATTGATACACACATTTTCTTTTTTTTTAACACAAATACGTTTTAATATACACACACACAACAACACAATTTACAATAACAGTTATTAAAAATAGTTATTACAAACAATGGTTTATAAACAAAAGTTTTACAAACTTACAAGCAATATAAAGTCTTCTTTCTAGTCTGGAACTTCTTCGATATCTTATCGAGGGTTCACGATGAGCGAGTTGATTAAGAGTTGACGTAGGTATAATTCACTGAAAAGGAAGCTAGCTAGCTTTGTCCTTCGTTATTTACCAGCCACACACGCCGCTTTTTCCACAGGTGACGTTATGTAATGTTTTCGTAAAAATACTAATGTCTGATGAGAATCCACTGAAGTTAAATGAGTTGTAATGTTCGAATTTTGTAAATGCTCCTGGTCAAATATCTGAAGTTTTCCTATTGATAAGCGTTATAACAATCACAGCTATAGCTTCCGAAGTTTATAGCACATTGACTATAGCAAACTAATAATAGATACTCTTTTTTGGCGCGTCACGTTGGTTATATTTATAGGCGTGTGGAGGATATCTCAAAATTTCAGCTTTACGTAACAATACTGGCGCTAACACTAGCGTTTACATACACACATATATTGTTGATTCTTACTCTCGAGAATCTTCTACAACTTTGGAGAATAGGCGGGAGTTTGGCAATACATATTTAACAGTATAAGCCATGTATGTTTCTAAATATAAATTTAATCCAAAACAAAATAAATATATAATAATAAATCCGTCACAATATATATATATATATAACACAAAAATGTGTGTCTGTTTGTCTGCCCGTTATCTAATTACTCTTAGGTCACTGGACCAATCTCAATCAAACTTTATGGGATAATAGTTTGGAACAAGGAACATTTTAATGGAGTTCAGAACCCCATCCACTCCCCATTGCTGTTGATGAGCATTTATTATCTTTAGCGTATATTAACGTTACACACATTCATTGGTGGCGCCGTCATTATTGCAATATCACATAAACTCAGCTAAAGTTTCTACTTCAACAGCCACCATAAGGCCGATATGATGGGCCGTTTTTTGAGTTATACCAACTTCCTACTTTGACCCGTGACCTTTCAACTTCGACGACCAATGATCGTCTATCTATTAATTAAACATGTGAAACATTGAGGAAGAACATTAAGAGCTGTGTGTTGAAAGCGGGTAACAGAAAGCACCCCTATCGCCACTATCTTCCTACAAATTCACCCTGACCATCGCACAGTGTATACCATGTTTTAAGTATATACATATTGAATTCTTAAAGCTTATACAAAACGTTTGGTGATATAATAACGAATACTATAATATGTTGTGTTATAAATACATTGTGTGAAAGTTAGGATTTTTGTGTTATTTATCACAGCATCCACAAACACATTTTTTAAGTGCATAATCCGGACAAAGAACAGGTACTTCAGCTTGTCATTCGTAAAAGAACATACTAGTGAACCAACATAATATTACATTAGCGTTACTATAAATACTGTGAGACAAAGTTTAAGTTTTATTGATCACTGTATACGGGATTAACTTTCCTGTTGTTTAAGTTTTATTGATCACTCTATACTGGACCAACTTCCCGGCATTTAGATATTGAGATTTTATTTTTTGTTTGTTCGTTTGAAGTTAAGCACAAAGCTACACGATGGGCTATCTGTGCTCTGCCCACCACGGGTATCGAAACCCGGTTTCTAGCATTGTAAGTCAGCAGACATGCCGCTGTGCCACTGGGGGGCATTGAGGTTTTATTTAACATTGTATACTAGCCTAAATTTTCTAAAGTCTAGGTTTTGAGGTATTTTCTTTTGCGCATATTGTAATGACGCAACTTTCCTAGCGTTTAGGGTTGAGGTTTTATTGGTTTCTTTATGCTGGTCTAACTTCCCTGTGGTTTAGGTTCCATATAAGTGGTGCTTTATTTTACCTATGGGTCCTCACCAGTTTTAAAACACATCTTTCTAAACTTTATATAACATTGCTTGCGGGTCCATGATATTGTTTGTTAAAATGTTCCTAATATCATATGTTTTTTAATTGTTTGTTGTTAAGCGCAAAGTTACGCAATGGGCTATTTGTGCTCTACCCACTACAGAATTCGAAACCGGATTTTTAGCGTTATAAGCCCTCAGACGTATCGCTGAGCCACCGGAGAGCCAATATCATATGTGTCACACATAAAACGTAAACAAAAATACCATCAATATTTCAGCAATTACACAATTAATGCTGGGGCCTTACATACAAAATAAGTGATTTCACACATTTTTTACACCGAATTCTATAACACATAAAGTTAATTAATCAATATTTTGCAATAGGTGGAATCCCATCAAAATTGAACTGTAAAAAATAATTTGCTAGTTTGAAGGTTAAAAAGTACTTATGTCAAACGAAAAAGTCTTGAATGACCGGTCACATAACCTTCAGTCTGTTAGAAATAAAGCTGACTCAAAGAACCACATTGATCACAATATATATATGTGATATATTTCATTTTTAGGTATAATAAAATCAGATTTAACATGTCATAAACTGAAATGTAACTAAAACTGATTCAACCTAACTATACTGCACATAATAAAACCAACTTTGGTCGTATAAATCATGATGAAACCGATTCCAAACACATCAACCGTGAAACACGTTTCAAATCAACCATTGAAGATATCGATACAGGAATCCCCCGATTAGTACGGTTAACGTGTTCTTTAAAAGAGCCGCACTAATCGAAAACTCACTAATCGAATATAATAACTCATAGGAAATCATGTAATTCGTACCTCAATTTTCATTCTCATTCACAATTAATTTCTATTTTGCGTATTTTTTAATCAAAGTATAGGTATATAAGAAAATACGAAAAAAATGCAATGAATTAAAATTTATTGATCTGACTTTTTTATGAAAAACTTATTTAGAGTGGCTTGTCGCTTCGTATTCTTCTGTTCTTCATATAATTGGCGGTACTGAGAAATTGCCTCATCAATTTTTCTGCAAATTTGACGGCTTCTATCTTCATCAGGGTCTGTTTCTAAACATTTTCCCTTAAATATTATTCAATAACCGTGAAAAGTTCTTCTAATTCCTTCTTCGTCATCTTCTTATGCTGGCGGGTAGGT